AGGGGTTGTTTTCATTTAAATAGCTTTTCTTTGCCTTGTTGCGGGGGGCGTGGTCAAGAATAGCCACCGAGTGTCTCATTAGCGTCTCTCCAATCTGTTACACTGTGCAGGGTCACATATACTGCTTTAAGGTATCATTCCTGCAAATGGTAATTTGAGAGTGTAGGCATACAGTATTAATGAAACAGAGTACCTCAGATGGCTGCATAGGTTAGCAGATCTCGTCCTGACCTTACGGCTGCTGGGGCAAACTCTGCGCGTTTTCCTGTTGAAGGGAATTGTTTCTTGCCATACCTCTACAAAGCTGCAGTTACAATTTAAAAGATATTGTGAATCACCATCAAGATTGGTTATAATGGATTATACAACATATTCTTCCAGATGGGGGCAACTGGTCCTGCTGAGTACTCAGCCTTGCCAAGACAGTAAGATTAGGCGGACTGGCAGGTGGGAGTCTGGGGAGCAAAGGAGTTACTTCAGGCTGCAGGGGAGACACCAGATATGGCAGGTCAAGGTCATTCATTGATGTTCTCCACTCAAAGCAAAGATCCAAGGTGGGTGTTGGGATGAACAATGTCAAGTCATACTTGACAAATAAAGTTAACTTTAAGGATCACATTATGGTGCATGAGGATGCTATAACACACCAGACAGAGGCTTGAAAGACCAAGGAACCATATCGGTTATTATTGTACAGTTCAATGAGGTTGGTGTTGCTTTTGAATGGTTCCCCTTAGCTATTTACTTAGTAGTTTTTGACCAAGAAATACAGGATGAAATATGAACACCAGAAATAGGAGCCTACCCAATGTTCCCATGAGATTTGTCATCAGACATTCTTCTTTCATAAGAGAGCACCTGGGTTATTCTGTCCAGACAGCACCTGCCTCTTCCATGCAGGAGTTTTTATTTTTGGTTCAGAGTTATTAAACACTTAAGATGCCAAAGTACTTGCTGATGTGAGAGGCAAGTCCCTGTTAGTCTGCCCCTCCTCTGTTTTCCCCAAGTGCTGCAAGGAGTGAGAAGTCTGTTGCTCTGCTTCTTTTTCAAACCATCCAACACACAACTCTGCTGCCATCCACGGCTTCCCCAAGTATCTCCATTGCACTAGTCATAGCTTCCATGCAGGTACCAAGTTTAGAAAAACGCTGTTGAATTCCCTCCTGCTGATACTGTTTCTAACTGAGTAGCAGCACAAATGCACTGAGGCTGCTTATCTGCACATCTTACAAATGAAATTGCAGTGAATTTATACAGAGGTCACACCGGGTACTTGCAACTACTAGAAATTATTTACAGTGGACATTACAGTTTGTATGAACTGAATGTAGGTCCCCTTATTCCTCTTGGCATAATGTCTGTTTGTCTGAATTATATCTTTTTAAAACACTGCTGAAGGTCCAATTTTCTTACTTTCTGACCCCTTAGCTGTTGGAGCGAGGGTTAAAAATTTACAAAAGTGTGGATATCACTCTCAGATTTGTAATAGAAAGAAAAAAGGTATTTATTGCATGCTTTTATTGCCAGTGATTTCTTGGGATAAGTTTTCTATCCGTGTTTCCTGTTGAATCAGTAGAAGAGTTCAAAGTATGTGCTTACCTTGTGACATGGGCACAATCCTGGAAAAATGGTGAACATAACATTTAACATTTAAGTAGCTTAAATAGCTGGCACTTAACACTTCCGATACAGCAAAATTGGGAGTGTGGCTGGATGTAAGGATGCCGTTTTTAATTTCTGACTAGGAGTGTCTGTGGGAAATTTGTCTTTTCTGCTAGATTGGAGACTGTTTCCTGGGTTAGATAAAGTTACGAAACCAAGTGGTTACATGTGCAAGCTACTGTATATATTTAAGAAAGCGGTTTAGACAAGTGGTCTCCTGCTCCTCCAGTAGAACAAAGCTGCCATTACATGAGCAGTACTATCCAGATTATATACTTAATGAAATATCAAGGCATTTAATTCAGAAGTAATTCTTGAGGAAGCAAACCAGGGATACTGAATTTTAGAGGACATAGTCTATGCTACGCTAAGTCTGCATTTCATGAATAGCAGTAACCAGCAGTAACAGGAATCCATTAACCTTTACGAGAAATTTAGTGGAAAACTCTGCATCCCTTTGCTGACTCTGCTGCCTCCTGTATCGGCTCCGTGTTGTGTGCGTGTTGCATGTGCAGAGGCAGGTGTGAGCAAAAGGGGGGCAGGATGGAGATAATAGCCTCTGCTAATCCCCCACTGGCATAATGTCCATTAGGAGTCAGTGATGTAAATCAGAGTTGAAACCCTGCTGTCTCTCTTCCCGCAAGGTCACAGAACCAGTTCCACATGTCCACCAGTCTTTATCCAAACGCAACTTGTTCATAGGGGAGAAATACAACCTGAATGTAAATCTGATCTTTTGCCATATAGACTGGTGTGATACATCAGTAAGATCTCTGCTCATTCCCTGACTCCCCTTTCAGATGACAGTAGGAGTATTGGCAAACCTGAGATGCAGGTACCCGGGCATGGCTTCAGAGTGCTCCTGCTTCCCAGCATTGCAGAAAAGGGATATATGTTCCTCTATAATTTGAGGTTCTCATAATTATGCTCAAACTAGACATACAAAGTAGACCGTACAAATACTTTCTGCCTTTTTACTTCTTTACTTTCTCCTAATCCACTCACCAGCCCCCAGAAAGTTCAATTATTTTCAGCTCAGTTATTTTCAAGTATTTTCTCTCTGATTTGGGCTTTTCTGTCTGGAGAACCTCTGGCAAGTGTAGCCCTAGGAAGGCACTTTCATTTAAGCTGCCTGTTACTGAGCTGACCCTCTGGCATGTTAGTCACAGGAGGATGACGGCCAACCCCTTTGCAGCATCCTCCAACAGCCTTCTGCTGCCCTGAGTCTTGTTGCTGGTTGCTGTCCGTGAGACTGTGGTGTGCTGAGTCCCTGCGCTGTACCGAGCCATACTGGTTTGAGGGCTGCACAAAGACAACAAGCTTGGAGTCTAGTCTAACGTGTGATGCTACGGATGGGTTCAGCGAGCCAGCGGCAAGGGATAATGTTACAGGCAGCCACATCCAAAGGACTCTCCCTCATTGCACTCATACTTTGCACTCAGCCAGTTGGCAGGTGATGCAAAACTGGGAGGAGTGGCTGGTGCACCAGATGGGTGTGCTGCCTTTCAGAGCAACCTCAGCAGGCTGGAGAAATGGGATGAGAGGAATCTCTTGAAGTTCATCAAAGGGAAATGCCAAATCTTGCACCGGGGGAGGAATAATAAATGCAGCAGTATCGGTTGGGTGCCGACTGGCTGGAAAGCACTTTGCTGAGAAGTGCTTGGGGGTTCCTGGTGGACATCAAGATGAACATGAGCCAACATTGTGTACTTGAGGCAAGAAGGTCAACGGTGTCCTGGTCTGGATTAGGAAGATCATCACCAGCAGGTCAAGGAGGGTGATCCTTCCTCTCTGCTCAGTTCTGGTGGCACATCTGCAGTGTCGGGTTCAGTTCTGGGCTCCCCAATACAAGAAAGACAGGGACATACTGGAGTGAGTCCAGCAAAGGGCCACAAAGATGATGAAGAAACTGAGCGTCTGTTGTATGAGGAGAGGCTGAGAGAGTTGGGACTGTTCAGCCTGGAGCAGAGAAGGCTCAGGGAGGTCTTATCAGTGTGTATAAATTCCTGATCCCCCAGGCAGAAGACAGAGCCAGACTCTTCTTAGTGGTGCCCAGTGACAGGACAAGAGGCAACGGGCACAAAGAGAAACACAGGGAATTCCATCTGAACACAAGAAAATAACCTTTTCACTGAGAGGGTGACCAAGCACTGGCACAGGTTGCCCATGGAGGTTGTGGAGTCTCCATCCTTGAAGATATTCAGAAGCCGTCTGGACATGGTCCTGGGCTACAGGCTCTAGGTGTCCCTGCTGGAGCAGGGGGGTCGGACCAGATGACCTCCAGAGGTGCCTTCCAACCTCAGCCATCCTGGGCTTCTGTGAAATATTTACTATACTTTAATAATCTTACGCAGTTACACAAATAGCTGCACTTTCCTCTCTCCCCTCAAAGTGAATCTGAGATCTCTGTGTTACATCCTTACAGAGAGATTTTTCAGAAGGAAAAGTTATGTACCATAACTCCATTAATTTTGAGTCATGGGAACACTTATTTTGAAAGGTTTGTGTTTTGCACTGTTTCAAAGTTCTCTTTAGTTTAGCATTACTTTTTGGTTGCCATCAGAATTGTTTTGGTTATGTTATCAAAACAAATGTCATTGTGGGAAAAGAACCAAGCATTGCCAATGTTTTTCATAGCAGTAATATTTGATTGCACTTGTTGGGTGTCTGGTAAGCCACTTCAGAAGAGAAAATGTCGTTCTAACGCATGCACGTACACACACACACATATTTGAGTGCCCACGTATTTTGCCCTAAATTCAGGCTATATTAAATGTTCCTGCGGAACACGCCCAGGTAAGGTATGTTCAATACTGCTTGGGCTGTCTGTTGCTGGTACTTCTCTAACCACACCTGTGGAGCTGTTTTGAAACAAACAATCTCTCAGTAAATATTTCTTACGACCAGGTCCCTGAGTCACCCTGCAACCTGGAGTCTCATCTTCAATATACAAGTATATCAGTTTTTTTGTGAAACAGAAAAGAGAAATATACTGTATATCTCGCTGTTATTTATTTTTTTCACATCAAAGCCTTTGAGGTAAAAATAAAGATATTTATTTTTCTGAGGTGGTATTTCACTCAGGAGAGAGCAATCATGTTCTGACTTCTCCCTCTTGACCAGTAGATGCTGAAACAGTCTGAAAAGTAGAAGATATTCTAGACTATGTTTACATAAGTCTGTAACATAGTATGAGCTTTTTATTCAGGAAATTCAGTGAGTTCAGAAATATGGGGCTGGTAGACAAGATCTGCAATGGATTTTAATATGTTTTTATATCAAATGTATCATATCATTTTATATCGAGTTTACATGCCACATCCTCTTTTTCTTTACAGGGTATATACCCAGTTACTTAGACAAGGATGAGCTATGTGTAGTATGTGGGGACAAAGCCACCGGATATCATTATCGCTGCATCACTTGCGAAGGTTGCAAGGTAAATGGCAGAGTGGGAAAGTGGGAATCAGAAATAGCTCTCCAGCTCCTCCATTATACAGACTTCCTGAACTGTGCTGTCAAATAAAACAAAGACAGATTAGAAGCGAATAAGAACATCCAGTACTGATGATAAGCCGTATCTGGCTATGCCGCTGCTCTTCATATGCATAAGGAATATAGTTGATGTTTGCAGTGTTTGCTTCTGAAAAGAAAACGAGAAATTTAGGTTTTTGTTGTTGCTGTTTAACTGTTAGCTTTTACATTTCCATTTTTTAATGTTTCTTTGGCCGTGTTCTCAGCCAGTGTACATCAGCACACTCCCAGCACCTCCAGTGAAGCTGTTTATGCAATAGCTGAGATTCTGCCTATGGCCATGAAGAGTCTGTAGCGATTAACAGTGTTCCAGTGCCTCTCATCGTCACTGTGAAGAAGCAAAAATCAAAATCCCTTCCACATGCTCATACAACAGTAACATCCATCACTTTGGGAAGCATTGACACCCAGTTAAACAGTTTCAAAAAAATTTTGGCTTCTTTAATTTAAGCACATTGAAATGTGCTTTCAGCCCTAAATTGCATCTCCAGAGCTACATGCAAAATTAAAAAAAGAGATTGCTTTGGGCAAGTAAATAAAAGAAAAAATTGAGTAACACAATCAGGCACATCTTACATGATTTCACTGCCATAAATTTGCCTGAATAGCTTGAGATTCTGTAAGAAAGCTATTCTTTCCTGCAGAAAATAAAAAATGATTATGTTTTTCTAAACAAATGGGACCACACATGTCATGGACTGGTGTCATGGGACTAAGCCACAAAAGTCGTATTCTGTTCATCCCCAAAGTCTGGAGTATTTGGATCTGAGATTTTGGGTTTGGATTGGCTTTAGAGCTCCCCATCACCCTAACTCTTGTGTTGAAGTAGTTCCTTCAGTTGTACAGCATTGCCCTAAGTTACATTTATGAAATGCAGAAAGACCTGAATATCCTATGTATAGCAGGTTCATGGTAATATTCATAATGGTTTTATACACATATATACATAATATGTATGAAAAAATATTTATATCTGAAAAAACCTGGAACTAAACAAGTGATTCTGACAAATTTGCATCCCATATACCAGATGATAACAATACATAAAATGTATGAATATGACTTAATTCAGATATAATGAGAAGTAAGCGACATTGTGGCATTATGAAATATCTTTTGCTCCCCGCTGAACAGCTATATCTCTCGCCAGCTTTCCTACTAAGGTTTTTGTTACTCCAACTGAAATATTTCTTTTTATGCCTACCAGCTATTTTAAAGATACAGCATACAAAATCTACTTTTATCTTCAGATACAGTTCTTCTGTCTGATGTACAATTTAAAATAATGCTTATGTGCACAAGGAACTGAGCTAACAATTTGCAAAAAGTAATTAATTTCTTTCTCCTACTTATAGCTGGCTTACAACAGACCATTTTGTTTTGTTTTGTTTTGATTTGTTGTTGTTCTTGCAAATGTATTCATTGTACAAGATGGTTTTTTTTGTGTGGACAATTTCAACCCATGCTTTGGAGGATCTGCATACACACTTGAAGTTGTATGATATACCAGCAAAGTTACATGTAATCAGTTCTCAAGGAATTTGACATTTACTAGTTGCTTCCACTCAAAATCACTTTAGTTTTGTAACAGCATTAATCAGGGCTGACAGCCAAAAATTTGCTTTGGCAAGTGCTTTCATGAACAAAGCATCCTCACACATGATTTCTGAAGAGTAAATTGAAAGGAATTTAAACACAAATAAACCAACAGTGAGTTCTGACATCATGGAAATGTTTCTCCGGACTGTACCCATTGCATCTATTGCTATATAGGTGCATAGTAAAAGAATTTAGGAAAAGAGTAATTGCCTTCCAATAAAATGTGCTTTCTTTTATTGATGAAAATAACACTTCTGTGATGAAGTGTTTGGACAAATATAGAGAGCAGCTTCGTTATCACATTGTATCTAGAGATGATCAAAGAGGTTTTTTGCAAAAAGTTTCTGAGAAGTGCAAAGAAATGGGAAGATGAAATGTGCTGGTCCCAACACAGGTGGTGAAGAGCCTTGCCATTGTAAAGCTAGAGCTAAGTTAAGTCCCATGCAAGGTTTGGAAAACAGAAGTTCAGTACCACTTCCTGAGATTTTTCCATCTCTTGCTGTAACTAGAGATTACTCCATGTCCCTGGTTGGCCAGAGCCATCTTTGATCTTCAGGGAGGAGAGGGGCAGGTCCTGTCTCTAGGAATTGACAACCCTGTCACAGGGTTGAGAGTGGATCCAAATCCAATTGCTGGGTAGATGAGAGCTTGAGACCTGATCCAAACCCCACATAAGGACATCTTGCCTGTGATTTCCTGGATTTTGGCTCGACCCAACAGGTCCCAGTCTTGCAAAGGCTCACACACATGCTTTATGCAACTCAGTTTAATTGAGATTTCAGTTCTTATCGTTACTACGGCAGAAAGAGTTATACCCTTAACTCGAGCTGGATCTTGTAAGATAAAACTCTAATGAGGACAAGGCTCTTCATTGTCTTCACTGGAGTTAGGAGCTCAAGCTGAAGACTTTTCCGTACATCTTAATTCAACATTCTGTGTTAAAAGAAATTACACACTGCTATAAGATTTTACCGGGTGTTATTTAACATGATTAAAAACAGACCTTTCGCCTAGTGAAGTGAAGAGACTATTCATTAAATAAAATCCCAGCTGAAGAGACTATTCATTAGGTAAAATATCATTTGAATTTTGCCATTGTTTTCACTGAAACCAAAGCCATTCTTGGTGGCCTCAGTCAAACAGGACCGGGGTTCCAGTGTGTTCTCTATGTCAAGGTGGTCCCAAGCTGCATTGCTGAATGTAGACAGTCTCAAACAATGGTGAAACTTGAAATTAAAGTGAAGTCTAAATTTCTTGCTTTACAGCCGATCTTGTCCATATCTTGCTGTCTTGGGAAGTTTATCCAGCTCTTGCGGAAGTCAATGAAAAAAGTCATGTTGAAATTAGTACCAGGATTAGGTCCATAATGATCAGAGATAAGTTGTATCTGATTTCTTTACCTGAGGCCAGGGTCTATGGGGTGTATAAATCAGTGAATTCAGCAGAGCTACGTTAGTTTGCATGAGCTTAGGATCTGACCTCATATCCATGTTGCAGTTGGCAATATAGATCTATATTATGATAGGTAGTAGGTAGATAGAATGGATTTGTGTATAGAGGGATTTTTATTGGTGATGTTTGTTTTGAATAGAGAGGTCTGTGCTAAATACAAATTAAATCCTCTTCTCAGAAATACAGAAAATTTTAAAATTATGAATCCATTATTTAGAACCAAACTCAGAGATTGTGTAAATTGTGTTTGCAAAATTCTTAGTATTGCCCAGATTTGGTTGGTTGGTTGGTTATTTGGCTTTGATGAAAAGAAGGGAGTAGAACTGTTTGTCCTTAATCCTTTAGTAGCACATACACACCACCATTCTTACTATTTGCAGAAGCTGCTTTTTAATTAAAAGTATGTATATGCCTCTTAATATCCTTCAGAATGATTAGCTAATTTAGAAAGGGGCTCAAAATAAACTCGCTAGTTCGAATACAAAAAAAATTAACACACAGAAACATAAGACTTCAAGAAGACTTGTAGACAGCATTCGTCCCTCAAGACAGCATTACTTATGCCTTTACTTACCTAAGATATCTATGTTTTTAATTTTTAGGGAGGAAATGTTTCGTGAAACTCAGAAAAGAAACGCCATACACTATAAAACTGGTTTGTTCTTTTCCTTTTTGAGAGTTTCATGGAATGAAGTATGTTATCTGGCATACTTAGGTACATTCCTACCAAACCAAAGTGGCTCTCAATTTGAAAAAATTGCACAGTGCTAATGCTTTCCAATGTATTTATTTATTGCACTTAGGGTTTTTTTAGAAGAACCATTCAGAAAAACCTCCATCCGACCTATTCCTGTAAATATGAAGGAAAATGTGTGATAGACAAAGTAACAAGAAATCAGTGCCAGGAATGTCGCTTCAAAAAATGTATCTTTGTTGGCATGGCAACAGATTGTAAGTATATTTTTCTGTTTTTCTTTCTTTTCTCTTTTTTTTTTTTTTTTTTTTTTTTTTTTTTTTTTTTTTTTTTTTTTTTTTTTTTTTTTTTTTTTTTTTTTTTTTTTTTTTTTTTTTTTTTTTTTTTAATGTGTGTGTTTGCTTAAAGTGTGTGTTTGCTTAAAGTATGTTGATTGGTGAAGATTGTTAAAGTAGAGCAGAACTGCCAGCACTTTTTTGTTTTTAATAACTTGTAGCGGGGAATTATGCTCATTGCATCAAACCACTCATAGGGCTGTTATTTTTTGTTTATCCTTCACCAGACTGCACCTTCTCCTGGCCTTACCAGGCTGAGTAACAGTAGGAACATTCACTCTTTGGAAGAGAGGAGGGAGAAATGCATCTGGATGGACACTTTGCTTGAAAAAAAAAATCTTGTTTAGAAAATTCTGGAGGATGTGAAATTGAATGTCATCGTATGAGTCATCCTGCAGTTGTTTGTTTTATTTTTAGCCCTGAAGAAGTTATCTACTGCAAAGAATTCGACTCTCATTCTAAAGAACTAGAACATATGGCTCTAAGATTAACCCTTAGGGGTCTTCTTTTCCTGCCATTGCACAGGGATTTACAGCAATAGCTTCAATTAGTACAAATGGGAGGAAGTCACATAAATCCCCCTGTGCGTTAACGTTAATGGTTGTGGCCAGCATAATCCTCTACAGAAGAACTGAGGGGAAAAAAGGCCCAATAAACAACCGAAAAATATTCTAACTCAGTATTTTTTATTGGTAATGTAATGTCTAACAGTGTCTTCTGTCTAGAGGGAAACAGAAGAAATGACACAATTTCATTTTAGCCAGGTAGACCTTCAGGAGGGGGGGCTGGACAACTCTGGGTCACCGGTTCGTCTCCAGCCCAGTCTGACGCATCAGGCAGTGGTGAGCATCAGCCAGGTAGCAGCTGGACAGAGTGAGAAGTTTCTCCGAGTCTGGTTCCGACCAGCCAATGCCATAAAGCTGGTACGGCCTTTGTGGGCTGCGCCTACGTACGTGCCAAAGGAGCTGTCACTGAGCACAGCAGACAGGCCAGTCTTCCCCCAGCTCGAGAAGGGTTTCTCCCACCTTTGAGTTAAAATGTGTGAACAGAAGCATGTAAGCAGAGCTTTCGTTGCTCCTGCCTGCCTGCCTGCCACCAGTTGTGGATCAGAATGGTCCTCCTCTGCTAAAGCGGGCCAGTCTGTTTAAATGGCCTATTCACGTTTGCATGGAAAATGAGATAAAACCTTCAGCGGTGGTCAGAGATGTGCAGCCCTGGGGCCTGTGGGTCTGGCATCGCTGGAAGTAGCGGGGCTCTAGGGGAATGCTGCAGAACGGCATCATTTGTAGGGCTTAAGGAAAGAGCCAAAGGCAGATTGTTTCTGATCGTGTCATGCAACAGGTAGTTGAGCCTCCTGTGAGTAAGTTCTCCCACTTTCTTAAATCCACGTTACCTTCTGCTGGCATACAAGAACACATTCTACACAACTCAGAGCAGTGACTGTACTGATACTACTTTAAAGAAAACAAAAGTGCATCTTTCCCAACATGAATTACTCCAAGTCCGTTATAGGAGCACTACGAGTCCTCACAAAGCTTTTACATATTAGTTTTATTGGTGGAATAAGCCACTGAAGGCAATGGCAGTACACAAAACGTTACCAGAAGGGTAAGTCGTTCTTTGCAGTCCAAGTTTCTGAGAAAATGAAGTTTGGAGGGAGAAATAAAAGAACTGTGTCACTTGCGGGTCTTATCAAAGTACGTCTTTACTGATTAGTTGAGGTGTTTGTAATCAATTAGTATCTCAGGCATAGAAAAGACCAAAGTTCGGACAGCCTTAAGAGCTTCCTGCCATTTTTGTATGCTTTTTCCCCTGCTAGTGGTGTTGGATGACAGCAAGCGGTTGGCAAAGAGGAAGCTGATAGAAGAAAATCGAGAGAAGAGACGTCGGGAAGAGCTGCAGAAAACCATTGGGCACAAACCAGAGCCAACGGATGAGGAGTGGGAGCTCATCAAAATTGTTACTGAAGCACATGTGGCCACCAATGCACAAGGAAGCCACTGGAAGCAGAAAAGGAAATTTCTGGTAAGGACTGTAGCCTTTTACACTGCTCTTGGAGCCAGGTTGCTTCCTTTCTTCTGAAGTCCCTTCCCAACACTGTATCCCCAAAGAGCGTGTATCTGCTAGTGTATTGACATTTATGAAAAATGGATTCTTATTGTAGTTACTACTTGCTTATTCTTGCCTGAAGCTCAGTGTTTGATCAGACCATGTATTTCAAAAGATAAACAGTGTGTTGCTAAGTTAAGGCTTACCCAGCTGGATACTTTTAATATGCTATGATAAAAAGTAGAAAAATTGTTTCACTCCTGATTAACAACAGTAGCAGTCTATAATGCATACCATACCTTTTCTAATATATTATATCTAGGGATAGTTGTCTTTATTAGAGAACAGCATACAACGTATTGTAAGTGTTAAAACTATGTAAAGTTTTAGGTGAAAGCTGGTATTTTTTATTAATAGCTTGTGGTTTTTGGTTCCTTGTTCCAAAGTGAACACATTAATTAAAATAAATTTGGCAAAGAAAAGTGAATTTCAATGAAAGCAGGATGATACATACACTATAGCATTGGGATTGCAGACTACAAGATGACTTAAGTTTTCAGCCTATAACTAAGGATCAGAAAATAAATGGTGATTTGTGATGCTCAGCCTCAGAAAAGGATTTATTTGATTTTTCTAAATCAATTTTTAAAGGAAATAAGTGCAGAATGCAAAATGTTTATACAGCACAAAAGAAGGATTATAGACTGCATTTCAGGAATACACAGGGGTCTTTAACAGTCTGTGTATACCAAATCAGATAGAGAATACTAATTTTTCGCAAGCCTAGGCTCCTGCTGCCTAATTCACCATGGGAATCTTGACCGACTGTTAAATTGCTAAGAGAAATTATATATTCAAACCAGCTGATCCCTTTTATAATGTTTTGTTAATTCCAGTGGCACTGTCTAAATTTCTATATGAATGGCTGAATGTTTGTAGTAGCGTGCAGTTGGGAAACCACAGCCAGTGATCGCTGGCAAGAAGCAGCAGAGCACTTTCCAGCGGTGCTGCACAGCAAGGTTTGCGGTGCTGGTTTTAGCAGACCAAGAAGCAGCTGCAATAGTGCGCTTGGTTACTTAGGCAGGAGTGCTGTTCCTTCAGTATCTCCTGGTTTGGGATAAAGCATGGGAGCTTGAGGTTGAGGCTGGGAATGAGGACACAGGCAGAAAGCTGATAGGGACTGGGCCACATAAAATGTGGTCGCTGAGGGACTTCAGGCTCTGGAGACAGTCACAGCGGAGGGGGGAGCCTCCAGCAAAGGGTGCCCAGAGGCAGGGCATGAGGTGATGTAAAAACAGGGCTACTGGGAGAGCGGACGGGTGGGGCAGAGGCAGGAGTGGCAGCTGTAATGGATGGTTCAGAAACCAGCTGTGACTTCCACAGCTGGTTTCTAGGCCAGACCAAACTGCCCTCAGTGCAGCCCTTGATGCAGGGCCTCCTGGTTCTTTGCAGTGCTCACATGCTGAAGCCCAGTGGATTGAAGGCAAGTGTAGGGAGCTCACTGACACCTTGCAGTGAGCACAGAAGGGAAAGTCCAGGGCCTGCCAGCCCCAGGTGGAGGGCTTTGAAAGCCCCTGCCAGAAGCTGTTGAAGAGCAAGAGGAGCTGACCGCACGCCCCAGGAACTGTGGGTCAGTCCTTAGCCAGCTGAGGCTGGTTCTTCAACAGCAGGAGCTCCTTTGAGGTCTGGACCTCTTTTTCTATTGAGGTGAGTTAGGTGGCAAGGGCTCTCCAGTTGCATGCCCTTCTAGAGTGTGTTAGCTTTAGCTAGCGATCCTGACTTCTTTTGGCTTTCCCAAGAAAATACAGTGTTCTCTCTTTTTCTCCCTAACAATGTTATGCGTGGGTTTAAGCGTTTGGTCTTCTTGCTTGGAAGTGATGAAGGTTGTTTATCATGAGCACACAGACAATGTGGTTTAGTTTCCCAAGATTCGGGGAGGGAGGGAGCCTAGAACTGGGATTATTTGAGTTTTTTAGTAGGAACCATCAGATAATTGAGCCCAGTCCTCTTCATTGTTCCTTTACAATTGGTGCTTGCTTTATTAACGCTTTGCTGAGTTTTTTCTTGAAAGAAGTTAGATTTGGACTCAGATTGGTGACAGAGCTGTGGAAGGATCTTTTATGATGTGTTGCTTTAAAAAACTGGTGAGCACAAGTTTTTATTATAGACGGCACTTTCAGCACCTCCCCTGTTTAAGTGCCCTTATATAAATGTCATGAAGTCCATCAGTCTTAAAGGCCTTCTTCTCTGGGTCTTATCCAGTTTTTGACTCTCTAATGTGAACAAAATGCAACCTCTGCATGGTGGTTGGCAGGTCTTTTACAACTGCACTTAGCAAACAGAACGGCTTTGATATGTCTTTTTTTAAAATACATGGTAACATTGACGAGCTGTCATAAAATCAGGTGCACAAGTTGAAATGCAGTTGGAATAAAAAACACTCATCGCAGATTCTGCTTGAAACTATTTCATTGTATATCCCTATTGAAATCCTCAAAATATGACTTTTTTTTTCTCTTTTGGAGAAGCCTTGGGCTGAAGTCATGGAGAAGGTGATTTTCAACCAAAATTTTACCCAAATGAGTTCAAATGCTAGTCACTTTATCCAGACTGGCTTTGTGTTAGCCTATTCTTAGTCATCAGTTGTTTTAGCCTAGTTTTGGAAACAGGCCTTGGCAGTTGCCTGGAGCTCTGTGATACCAGGCAATGTGTTCTGGGGAGGATTTCAGAACTCTGAGTAGGTGAAACAGCCCAATTCTGCAAAGCTCTGCGCATCTTCTCGGGAGCAACAAGACACCTCAGCTCCCTTCACTTTTAGAAAAACTTGAGAGTTCTCAGCACCTGTAAGAAACAAGAACATGCCTATATTTTTAAGCAAAAAATGGATAAGCTACACCCACAAAATATTCAGATACAGGCACAAGGAAGAAACTGCATGTGCACAGAAATGCAGCTGCCCACACAGGATGGGTAGCAGCGTGCCAGTCACCCATTGCTCTGTGCAGTCACCTCTTTCACAAATGCCTTACAAGCAAATTCACATTTTGTGACGTAGTGGGCATTACTTATAAAGTGAATAGTGTTATTTTTTATTTTAGCATATTTTCCGTCGCCAAGCAGGACTTTAAGAGTATAAAATACTTGCCCTAAGATAGATTGTTCCTTTAAATATCTTTGTTTATATCCTTAGCCAGAAGATATTGGGCAGGCACCAATAGTTAATGCCCCAGAAGGTGGGAAAGTGGATTTAGAAGCCTTCAGCCAGTTTACAAAAATTATCACACCAGCGATTACAAGAGTGGTGGATTTTGCCAAAAAGTTGCCTATGTTTTGTGAGGTAAGAAAACTTCCTTGCAGTCCTCATTTATATGCCTGTTGTTAAAAACTATTCAAAATACTCCTGGCATGAAACTAAAAAATTCACTATGTTTAAAATCAGAAAAATTCAGAGACTCAATATAGATGGGACTAGAATAATCTGGATTTTTATGAGTTTTCTTTTTCCTGTGATTACTAAAATCCTGATTTTGTTCATCTAGAAGTCATCATGGTTCATTAGGGACTCGAATGTGTCTTTAGAAGTGGCCTTGAACAAAGCAAATGAGCAAAAAGAGACTGTCTAGAAGCATCTTTGATACATTTAATCAGATCTTCCAGCACACAGCTCCCTCTGTGCTTTCTGGCTCCTTGGCAGGTATAGTATTGGGGAGTTGGATCTATGCAGTAACAAATCCTTCAAATACAGGAAAGCATTCCTATCCAGGAATGGCACTTGCCTCATTGTATTCCCTAGGCATGTTTTTCCTGAACAGGGAGGTTGTGCATAAAAGAGTCTGTAAGAGTAATGGATTGTCATTCCAGGTAGATACTCACATGTAAAACATACAGTAAATAAATAGACTCAAATAGACTTGGTTGCACATTAGGAATACAGAGGCCCTAGGCTGATCTCATTTATACCAAGCTATCATTTTTATTGAAGGACCAGAGGCAATGACTTATGATATTTTTTTCCTAGCTTAAAAATGTTATCAGAACTGCAGCCTGAAATAATACTTTAGTCTTAATAATCTTAATAATTTTAATAATTTTAAGTCTTGTAAGTCGCTGAGGATCTACAACCATGGGAGTTTTAGTATGGAAATAACCCCAATCCAGCCATGGATGGATGCCTGCCTGCTCACCCATGCTGCAGAGCAACACTTGGCTCTGCTGGTGAAATGCCAAGTGAATGACATTCAAAATGGGAGTGACTGTGGTCATTGAGTTAATCGGGCTCCTTAACTCAGCAACAGTGTTTCCTCCTAATAACTAAACATCAGTCAGGAAGGAAGTTTAAGGCAGCCATAGTATTTTACTCTTCTGTGGCTGGCAGCTTTTCTTTAAGGTCAGTTAAGGAGAGCTATTTATGTCCTCTGGCACCTACAGAACGAGAAGAGGTAAATAGCAATAGTTGGCATAGTGTAAATAGCTCTCCCTGGCTAACCTCAGCATTGGCTCCATCATCCAAGAAAGCATGAAATACTGGCCAAGCATGAAGATTTTAAAATACAAGGAATGTGTCCATAGATAAAGAGGCCCCTGCAGCATTCAGCGTCTGAGGGAGTCTGTGTCCTCTGGTTTGGCATTTGTTGGTGGGAAGTTGCAGTCACATACCAAGGTAGTCTTTTTAATTTAGAAAGCTTTGCCAGTCACACACAGACTGCAGTGCCCATCTGACATCTCCTACCCCCCCCCCCCCCCCCCCCCCCCGCGCCCCCTCGCTGTACGTCTACCATGGGCCCACTTGTGTCAGAGCCAGGCAGGAAGCATGGATGAAGAAGTCAAGGCATCATTGGGCATGACCCCTGTAGGTTATGCAGCTCAGCTAGGACAGGCTTTGTTTACAGCTGGGCCACTGTGTAAACCTGACACCCGTATACAGCAAGGTCTGATGGCAGAGTGAGGGACAACTCCTCGTGAACACAAAGGAATAGGACAGCTGTCCTCCAAGTTGTCATATAGCTCCCACTGTAGCATAAAGAAATTGACAAATGTTTGCTCCTTTTTGAAGGGGCATCGTCTTGTTAACTTTTTTTAAGTTACGGTTTTTTAACCCCTGTCTTTTTCTTAGAAGAAAAACTGTGTGAGCTGTGGATTTGTTTATGAGAAAAAGCCCTCCTTTCTCCCATAGGACCCGCAGAGCATTTAAACATTATCTTAGTTCTTAATTTCTACAGAAGCTCAGGCTGAGAGTGTAGTAAATCTCTATGATGGAGGGGCATGGCAAGGAAAATCCATGGCCACTTACATATTCACAGCTACTTTTCCTTCTTTCTCTCTTCTTTGGACACATATGCAAGTCATCAAAGCACTGTGAGTGCTCAGCTTAGTTTGTGTGCATCCGTTGGCCCATGCCTCAAAGCAAGAATCTAATCCCAGAGTAACCTAAGTATAAGGAAAACTTAATTTACTTCTCAGAATTTCTGCTGTTGTTTCCTTCTTGCATTTCCCTCTGCTTAGAAGATGAAAATTGAGGAGCATTTAATCAGTTCGATGTGACTTTAAGTGTCACAGGCATCAGTGGTTCCACGTTGAGTGAAGCTGTGTAAATACCCTTCTAGGTAGCTCAGCTCAGCTTAATTCCATGGTGCTGCATTACAAGTGTGCTGGCTGCCAGTATGCCCTGCAGAGGTGAGCACCTCAGGTTCCCGCCTTTCGCTTTTTCTCCCTGCAGAGGGAGAAGGAAAGGACAACATGTGGCAGATAATCAGTCACATTTGTTGACCCCACTCCTGGAAGGTGCTCTGGTAGCAACGTTCAACTGATGAGCATAGGTAGCATTGAAACCTGCATAGTTGGGAGCAGAACTGACGTTCAATCCCACTGTCTTTGGTAGCTGCTGCCACTGGCTTGGCATCCGTGAAACAGGTGTCCCCTGTATCCTTCAGAATTAGGAAAGCAGGTGAAGGATGGACATAGTCAGATCACCACTACCATAAAGAAGTTTTAAGAAGGTTCAAGTAGGCGGAGAAATTCTCATTGCTTTAATGGCTCACTAATAAAACAGCTGAAGCGTCACGAAATATCTTCCCTACTGTTGTCTGTCTGTCTCTCTTTCACCATTCTTCCTTCTCCTTAGTCTTTTTTTCTTCATTTCTCTTTTTTTCTGCCTTCTCCCTTCCTTTCTTTCATGTCCCTTTTTTCTCTGCAGTTACCTATTCCGATATCTCTTTGTTGTTGCTCTCACACATTTTTCTTCTTTTTTTAAATTTTATTACTATTTCTTCCTCTGTTTCTTTCCAAAAAATACTTCAGTCTCAGCAGCCAAACAGTGGCATTGTCGTTGGGTAGTGAGACTGCCACTGTGCCTGTACAGCCTTCCCCACGCTGCTGCTGAGCTGAGTGTGATCCGCAGAGAAAGTGATTTGCCCTGAACAGGATGAGTCATTTTTCTTGTGTATCAAACACTTTGCACCTGAAGTTGGCATTGCTGGAAAAATAGCTGCATGATTTAACTCCTTTTTCTGACTGGGGCTGTCTTTGTGCTTAAAACTCTTCTCTAACAGGCAACTGCTTTCCACTTGCGTTAGGTAACTGGCGTCCACTCTACATCATTTTACACCAAATCAATGTATTTGCTTTGCGAGTACACAGTTGCCATGTAAACCTGTAGTTGGTGAGGTTTTTTTCATTTTGAATTGCAAATCAGGTAAACATAATAACTTCATATGAATCAGAAATTGATGGATTTTTGCCTCCTTTCAATCCAAGTAGAAGTGAATTGCTTTTTCATATACGTGACCATTTAGTGACAGTCTCAAAATAGTCTTGGTTGTTTTTGCTACCATTGAATTACCTATGAAAACATAAAGATATGCTTTACAGAACCCATTCTCCTTATGTGTCAGCATCCTGGTGACACTTTATAAATACAGAACCTACCTCCACCGATTCGGACAGCTTACCTTTTTTAATGTTGTGGAAAAGACAAGTCTAGCCATGTGCCCTGAAGATCACAGCTTATGCACCAGTGTAAAAGCTGGAGCTATACCATATACTTTCTGTCTGTCCAGCAATAATGTAGGGAGTCTAGGGAGCCTTACTAGGCTAAAAATAGCTTAATAAGTTCTCTGTTGTTTAAATAGGCAGTGAGAATTAAGAGTACATGTCCCACTGATTGAGGTATCTTTTCTAGATACAAAAATGTATTACATTCCTTTTATTTAAAAAGCAGTCCACTCTTACGGACCCACCCAAATGTCTTTCTTTTCCTCTGGTCAGGTAAGAAATAAGCATGGCTGGCAGTGAGTTTAACTGGGATGGCTGAGGTCTGTACCAGCCCCGATTGTAGTTTATTCTGTTATGCTAAGTTGTAAGCTGAGGGAGCTCAGGACTAGAAGGGAGAAGGGTAAACAGCTGAGAACAGTGACCACTTCAGCCATCTCAGTTATATCCACCCCTGTGGGAGACAAAACCAATAGTATATGTTACCACCAACCTGGCACCTGACAGGTCTGCTTCAGCCTTCACACTTCGTGAAATGTTCTGCAAAATAGAAAGCTACATTCTTCAGGTTTATTGGACTTAACTTTATAATGCTCCCACAAACTGAGCAGTCCCACGGAGAGCAGCACTTCTGCAAGTTGGGTCACTTCACCTCAGCATCTGAACCAGCTTGGTTTGCTTTGAGTATCTTGCCCAGGACCACTTGCTTACAGCTCTGTCATCACTAGATTGCCTAAGGGTGTGTGGGGATGTCAACCTGCCGGCAGTTTCTGGAAGCAGGAGTGCGAGTCTTGGAGGTTTCTGCGGTGCACTGGAAGTAGTCGGTCAGCAGCATGTTTGGAGGGTAGCTGCACTATGCGAGGTAGTGTCCTGGGGTGTGAATGGCAACTTCATGCTCATGGATTTATTGTAGCTGTAAAACCAACTCAGTTTGAAAAACACATCTTTTTCTTTACTGTTTGTAATTTCTGCAGCTGCCATGTGAAGACCAGATCATCCTTCTGAAAGGCTGCTGTATGGAGATAATGTCCCTCCGAGCAGCAGTTCGCTATGACCCCGAGAGTGAGACTTTAACACTAAATGGGGAGATGGCGGTGACAAGGGGTCAGCTGAAAAATGGGGGTCTTGGCGTAGTGTCTGATGCCATTTTTGACCTGGGCATGTCTCTTTCTTCATTTAACCTGGATGACACCGAGGTTGCCCTTCTTCAGGCTGTTCTGCTCATGTCATCAGGTGAGAACAGAAATGTATTGGGACTCCAACCATTTTGAAACTCTTTAGTCTTTGTCACAAGCCTCTTTTTAAAAGAAATAGGGTATGTTAGGTCTTGCAGTGCTGACTAGAGTAATGTGGGAGAAATTCTCTCTCAAAATGCAGCTTGGAACGAGTTTGGTGAGCACTAGGGAAAAAATTCGGAGTATTTGGAGAGATGAGCATAACAGTGGCTTTGGTAACACACCTTGCTCAGTTTAGTACTTAGGGAGGAGGCAGGGATGATCATCAGAAAGAAATCAGATCTGGTTCTGAGCCAATTTGCCTTGAATGAAAAACTGATAATTTAGAACAGTTGTCCTTACAGTAAGTTCCCTCTTCCCCTAGGGGAAGAGGGTGGGAAGTACAGTTCATACACATTTCCATCAGTCTCATATGCTTAGTTTTCCTGCTTTCTTGTTTTCCTACTTAACAGCACCACCGCTTGCTAATGGGCATTTGACAGCTGTGCTGTTTCCCCACACTGGGACCATTTGCAACTGGTCTCTTGGTGGTGTCATACAGAAGCAGCACATTCATATGAATCAGAAATTGATGGATTTTTGATGCCTTTCAATCTAAGTACAAGCGAATTGCAAGTGAATTGACGTGACCTATACGTGACCATTTAGTGACAGTCTCAAAATAGTCTTGGTTGTTTTTGCTACCATTGAATTACCTATGAAAACATAAAGATATGCTTTACAGAACCCATTCTCCTTATGTGTCAGCATCCTGGTGACACTTTATAAATACAGAACCTACCTCCACCGATTCGGACAGCTTACCTTTTTTAATGTTGTGGAAAAGACAAGTCTAGCCATGTGCCCTGAAGATCACAGCTTATGCACCAGTGTAAAAGCTGGAGCTATACCATATACTTTCTGTCTGTCCAGCAATAATGTAGGGAGTCTAGGGAGCCTTACTAGGCTAAAAATAGCTTAATAAGTTCTCTGTTGTTTAAATAGGCAGTGAGAATTAAGAGTACATGTCCCACTGATTGAGGTATCTTTTCTAGATACAAAAATGTATTACATTCCTTTTATTTAAAAAGCAGTCCACTCTTACGGACCCACCCAAATGTCTTTCTTTTCCTCTGGTCAGGTAAGAAATAAGCATGGCTGGCAGTGAGTTTAACTGGGATGGCTGAGGTCTGTACCAGCCCCGATTGTAGTTTATTCTGTTATGCTAAGTTGTAAGCTGAGGGAGCTCAGGACTAGAAGGGAGAAGGGTAAACAGCTGAGAACAGTGACCACTTCAGCCATCTCAGTTATATCCACCCCTGTGGGAGACAAAACCAATAGTATATGTTACCACCAACCTGGCACCTGACAGGTCTGCTTCAGCCTTCACACTTCGTGAAATGTTCTGCAAAATAGAAAGCTACATTCTTCAGGTTTATTGGACTTAACTTTATAATGCTCCCACAAACTGAGCAGTCCCACGGAGAGCAGCACTTCTGCAAGTTGGGTCACTTCACCTCAGCATCTGAACCAGCTTGGTTTGCTTTGAGTATCTTGCCCAGGACCACTTGCTTACAGCTCTGTCATCACTAGATTGCCTAAGGGTGTGTGGGGATGTCAACCTGCCGGCAGTTTCTGGAAGCAGGAGTGCGAGTCTTGGAGGTTTCTGCGGTGCACTGGAAGTAGTCGGTCAGCAGCATGTTTGGAGGGTAGCTGCACTATGCGAGGTAGTGTCCTGGGGTGTGAATGGCAACTTCATGCTCATGGATTTATTGTAGCTGTAAAACCAACTCAGTTTGAAAAACACATCTTTTTCTTTACTGTTTGTAATTTCTGCAGCTGCCATGTGAAGACCAGATCATCCTTCTGAAAGGCTGCTGTATGGAGATAATGTCCCTCCGAGCAGCAGTTCGCTATGACCCCGAGAGTGAGACTTTAACACTAAATGGGGAGATGGCGGTGACAAGGGGTCAGCTGAAAAATGGGGGTCTTGGCGTAGTGTCTGATGCCATTTTTGACCTGGGCATGTCTCTTTCTTCATTTAACCTGGATGACACCGAGGTTGCCCTTCTTCAGGCTGTTCTGCTCATGTCATCAGGTGAGAACAGAAATGTATTGGGACTCCAACCATTTTGAAACTCTTTAGTCTTTGTCACAAGCCTCTTTTTAAAAGAAATAGGGTATGTTAGATCTTGCAGTGCTGACTAGAGTAACGTGGGAGAAATTCTCTCTCAAAATGCAGCTTGGAACGAGTTTGGTGAGCACTAGGGAAAAAATTCGGAGTATTTGGAGAGATGAGCATAACAGTGGCTTTGGTAACACACCTTGCTCAGTTTAGTACTTAGGGAGGAGGCAGGGATGATCATCAGAAAGAAATCAGATCTGGTTCTGAGCCAATTTGCCTTGAATGAAAAACTGATAATTTAGAACAGTTGTCCTTACAGTAAGTTCCCTCTTCCCCTAGGGGAAGAGGGTGGGAAGTACAGTTCATACACATTTCCATCAGTCTCATATGCTTAGTTTTCCTGCTTTCTTGTTTTCCTACTTAACAGCACCACCGCTTGCTAATGGGCATTTGACAGCTGTGCTGTTTCCCCACACTGGGACCATTTGCAACTGGTCTCTTGGTGGTGTCATACAGAAGCAGCACAGACCATTTCATATGATTTCCAAAGATTTTCTTCCCTTCTCAGATCGAGTATGTTTCCAAATATGCTTCCACTGACTGTGCGAGCCCAAAGAGGAAATTCCATTCTTGGGCAGTGGCAGATTTGGCAAGGTTTTGTTTTAAGACCACTTTGAAGATTGGGCACTAAATAACAATACACAGACAGTGATTTACAAGCATTAACTGCATCTGAGACAGAAAGGTTTCCACATGAATCACAACACAGCACTTGACCTTCCCAGTGACAATATTTTGATTTCTTTT